TCCTAATCCTTTTAAACATTTCGAAACTTGTGTGATCAACTCCTAATGATTCTGCAAGTTCAGCTAGTGTCTGACATGAGTCTTCATGAAGTAATGCCTCTAATTCCTTGTCTTCAAACTTTTTTGGTGCACCAGATCGTTCTTTATCTTCAACATCAAAATCATTATTTTTGAAGCGTCTAAACCAATCTCTGCATGTTGTTTCCAACAGAGCATGGTCGCTGTAAGTCTCAACAAGAATTCTGTGTGCTTCAGCTGCAGATTTTTTTTTAATAAAATAGCACAATAAAATTCCCCACAAATACTCTTTTTTGGCACGAAACTAGACATGTTTAACACAATGAAAAAATAAGTTGTTTACACTTCGGTGAAATGATGTATACTGAATTTCAAGGTCACTTATTGTACTTCCTTACAGATGCATCACCATCTAAAAATAAACACACGTGGTTCTGGTAACGCCATCTGTTGGAAAACAGCGAGAAATTATTCAAAGTCCTTATACTATGAAGCTGGTAAAAAGTTGAAATGGCAGCATGCAACTTAGGGTTAAAACATTCAACTGTTTTGACAATCTCAAAGAATAACAATAGTGTAAAAGAGGCAGGGAAAGCATCAACAGAATTTAAAGCCATAATAAATAGCTAGCAAAAAAGCCACATTCGTGAAATAGAAAAATTACTGATGATGTGGTTTGATAACCCAATACAAAAAGAATATATTTTTTGTTAAATAAACTAACAATCCAAATGTTGCAAGGTTCAAACTAAATCTTCCCAATATATAGGAATGAAAGAAATACAGTGGAACCTCTATATTCATAATATTCGATATTCGTCACATTTTGATGATGTTTTTATTTTTCCAGTCAGTATTTTCTGTATTTTTTGTCATTTCCAACACCAGAAGTGGCACTACAATCGCACACCTGCGCCGATCAACTAACCATATTAGCTAGCTGTAGTTAATCAGTCTGCTTTGTGTGGTCATCGTGTGTTGTTGAGTTATTAAAAAATAATGAATGTGAGGAACAAAGTTCCAATCACTTCAAAGTGGCACCCAAATGTTGCTACAGTCAACTAAAATATAAATATATTCAATGATAATGTAATTGCCTACTTCAGAAAAGTTTTAAAAAGCAGACAAAAACAACACTGGACAAGTTCTTTATTAAATCGAGTGCTACTGAATCATCGGCAAAACAGACCCCATGATCATAATTGAAATTGCCTAATATTTTAATTGATATGTCTTCTTCTAAACAATAATACTGTTCTTCCACTTCTACCACTATATCTTTATTGTACTAAATGAATTCAGTAAAGTTTTACATACAACATAATTTTTATTCTTGTACTTTCTTTCAAGATGGGAACGGATTAATTGAATATCAGTTATTCATTATGAGAAAAATTGTTTCTATATTCGTCATATTCCATATTCATTAGGTCCTTGGAAATCGATTAATGACAAATATACAGGTTCCACTCTATGATTGCATACACTACTATAAATATTTTAATGGTTTTATTCCAGCTTCCTGGCTTTGTCTTAGAATACCCATAAAGAATACATGCAACATTACTTGTAGTTTTACTCCTTTTTACCATTTATCTTTTTCACAAATCTTTACAAACAAATTTTATGGCAATATTCTATACTCTGGCTCAGTTATTATATTGTTTTTAAATTTTTGTCTTACTTTTAATATTATATGTATTTAATATTTTAGACATTTTTTGTGTATTCTGTCTTATTTATTGTCTGTCAGATTAAATGTTGATTTGTACAAATAATTATCTTGGGATAAAAGATATCCAGGATCTCTTCTATAAAAAATGCAGGTGCAGCAAAACAAGGGCTTGTTTCTCTCATCGCTTGCTTGAAATACATATAAGATAGATAAACACAGAAAAAAATGAGTAAACAAGTGATAAAAGCTTTTCCAATGATAACTAAATACCACTTACATAGGGTTTATTGATATCTTGAAGGCCAGGAAAAAACGAGAATTTTTCCAGCTTTTTTAATCCTTTTCTCGCTAGTAATCCTTTTCCCACTAGTGAAACTGCTTATACTTCATTACACTTGCTTAAAAAAAATTTAATTTCGATAACATATTTTCTTGCAATTTTCATTTATGTTTTATTATGTCAATTGATTTTTCTTTTATGTATTTATCTTCTTTTGTTATGGATCTTGTTATTTATGGGGGAGGATATCTGCTGTCCAGCAACATTTCCTAATGTAAATGAAATAAATAAATAAATAAAATACTAATGAGCCTTTTAATAATTCAAGCCAAGGCATGCAGATCTTTCAGATTTTGAAAGTGTGCCAAGGCAAGATATTGAAGGAAGCATTTATGCAAATCACAGATGATTTCAACAGTTTTGTCAAAGATTCAATCTGCATAATTGGAGTATCAGTAATGAAGTGACAAGCACAGATATACAAACAGCAGAAAAGTTTGTTGATCAATTTGATGAACAGTGGTTACCTCTCAAAACAATCTTCAATGTGGACAAAACCACACTTTTTTGGAAAAATTGCCTGAAAGGTACTTAAAGAATTAAAGAAAAAGTGTTATAATATACAGAAGTCGTGATAAGTTTGGGAAAAACAGCACTATTGTGTTGCTGAAATAATAATGAAGTAAAAAATATTGAAGAATTAATGGAATGTGTAGAGGGAAAGCTAACTAACAAAGGTTTAATAAAGTTGAAAATGCAACAGAACTTGGAAGAGGAAAGAATGGAAGTACAAAAGAAGTTCACTGTGAAGGGGTTTACTGGTGTGTTCTTGAAAGTAAATGCAGCTATACTAGAGAGTATGAATCTTAATGTTGAATGATTCACAAAACTGGAATGACAAATGATTTTATGAAGAAAAGAAATTTACAAAGCAGATCAGACTAAAAGGATTCTTCTTGAAAGTTACACCCAGGACTCCTACTCCTACAAGTACTTCCATTCCTAACAGTCATCTATCTTCTTTTCCCAGGTTCTCTACAGCTTCTTGATAACTCCGACGATGATGATGATCTAGAATCACTACCACACTTTGAAGGATTCGATAACTACAATATTAATTTGAAAGTCTTTTCATGAATGAACTTCAACATTTTTGGTACATCATTTTTATAATTTCTGCTGACTGTATTCTTATGTTTTGTAATATGCAAAAGATGCAAATTAAAACAAGATCATCAAGCTTAGTTTCCTTTTCACCTTTTCTTTATTCAGAATAAATAAAAACAATTAAGTTCCTCACGTATTGATCAATTTGCTTCATGACCTAGGCATAGGAACAAAACTCAGTCATCAAGTGAGATATGCCTGTACATGATTAGCTATAAATTAGATATTATTTTAAAATGTAAGTATATAAATTAAAATCAGTTTCTATATTTTCAAGGTATATTATGTTACTTTTCAGATATATTATATTATTTATAAACTCAAATTCTCATAACTTTTGCAAAAATTTTCTCCAAAGGTGAAGCAAAATTCTGTTGAAAATATACACAAATGATTAAAATTTTTATTGACTTTTAAACTTTGCTCATGCCTTTTATCTTCAATTCTAATTAAGTAATTGAAATAAGTATCATCAGCTTTGAGAAATTTAACAAATAAATCAGATTCATCCATAAATCTAATTTATATAAAATATTTATGATTAAAAATAATTTTAAAACTTCTAATAATATAACATAACTAATGCCAGAATCCATTATCAAACAAATATAAAACTACCTGGACTATATTAAGAATAACTAAGTAATTGATTAACAAAATTTAGTTTAAATATAGGAAGTGCTGCCACTTTAAGAAAAGAGTAATAATTAGAAATTCATTTTGAATTAAATAATTACAAAATTCTGCAATCTAACTTTTCTACTAAAACTCTAGCACAACTATTCTTCAATCACTAAAAACTGAATTTCCACTTCAAATGTTTTTTAAATATCCAAAGATGCACTCCTTGCTCACAAGTGTTAAAACTCATATTTAATTTCATTTAAATTCTATTAAAGCATTACTTGGTTTTTGTTCAATCATTTTTCTCAAACAAAAATCAAGCCAACAATCTTGCATATTGGATAAGTATATTATCACACTTTTATCTGGACTTCTGTCTGATTTTCATTTTCAGAAACAATAAATGAAAACTACCAGATATCAACATGACAATAAATTAGTAGAAATACCTGTAGAATCTAATTAACAAACCTGGAAGCCAAGACTAGAAGAAGCTGGATCTGCTGGTCCAATATGCAACAGTTGTGGGTTTGAATTCTATTTCAAATGTATACAGTAATACCCCAAACTTACGCGATAGGTGGGACCGAGCGATAACCACGTAAGTCGAATTCGCGTAAGTCGGAGTTAATTTCCCAATTTGTGTAAAATCCAGGTTGGATGTATGTAAGCTAATAAATGTTCTCGTTAATCTTATCTCGTCTTTTGATTCGTTCACAGTTACAAGAAATCACCACAAAGAGTCTCTCGAGTCTCCATAGATATAACAAACACAGAAATAAATAACACAAAATAAATTGTAGCTATGTGTCGATTCTGTGCGACACGTCCGAACATGTAAGTCAAACAATAGTGTGGGTGGAGTAAGTAATCAAGAGTTGCGTGGCACTCAAACAAAAGACGAATCAATGAGATTTGAAAATCACATAACTCCGGGTTCGCGTAAGTCGGGGTAGCGTAAGTCGAGGTATTACTGTATTTTCTTTAAGAATTCCCTAAAGTATTTAATTTGTTTCAAATTAATTAAATAAATTATTAAGATTTATACAGATCAGTGGGGCACAATTACTTATCTTTAAGAAAAATTCTGTTAATAAAAATTAATCTTAATATAGCCTAAAATAATTTAGAAGTTATAGACTGTGTTTAATTCTGTCTAGACCCCTGCAAAACAACTGAAAACATTAATTTTTTCTGTAGTTTGAGACATTCAAACAAACATTGCATAAAGGATACGTATATAATTCCATATATCTAGTCTTTGACATATTTTGGTGTTTATTTGTATAAACTTGCTCAATGCCATCTTTCAAGTCACCCCAAATTTGGTCCAAATCAATCTGTTTTAAACCATGAGTTCCCTGGCGAGAGTTGGAGGTTGGAGATGGTCCTGGTAAAGCCATTGGAATTATTGGAAATTTACAATTTATAAAATTCTATATCTGTAAGAAAAAATAAACAAACTTTTAAAAAAATTATATTAAATAATCTATAATATGTTTGAAAAACTAGTTAAATTTTTAAAACATTATGTTAAAAACAAATAAGTTATTTCATATGCTTTTGTATTTACACTAGTTATTTATGGTTGGTAAAGTAACACCCCGGGCGTGTCGACATAAACGAAGGTCAACATTTACTGCAAATAAAATTTAAATAAAAACTTTCTATTTACAATAATTACAAAATTGCACAGATGTCTCTCCAAATATCAAGTCATCACATATAAATAGCTTTTTAAATTACTCATACAATTAATAATTTTATATTTCAAAAAAATATTAAAAGTAAGTATTTTGAATTCATTAATGAATCAAGAACAATGTATTATATTACTATAGTGACAAATGCTGCTAAAAGATATCCTACTTTTTCCCTTTTAAAATAATCATCAAGGTCAACTGAAATCATTAACCTTATTTCAGTATCTTGATCTTTATAGGAAAAAAAAATTTTTATCACAATTATTTTAATGATTTAAATGAAAAAGTTCAGTTACCATACTGATGCAATCAAAAAACTGGAAACTCAAGAAAAAATTAATCTCTTCATAACTTTATTTGAAAAAACTACATGCATTTGTCTGTCAAAAAAATGTCTTTCAGAAAGAAAAAAACATGCTTGAATTTTGTGAAATTAGTTTCGATCAAACAAAATACACACTACAATAAAAATACAATTAAATAATGATTAAAGAAGGAAAATGAAATTATCAAATTTTGAAATAGTTTAAATACCTATTGCCAGATTACATTTGGGCCATAACATGGCTAATTAACAATTAAAAGTAATTTGGTCAAAACAGTTTGTGGTCATGCGACATCTTCAAATAGTTTGTATGAAAATAATAATAGAATTTATTTTATACAAAGAAAAAAAATCTTTCATTGGAAAAATAATAGTAAATGTTAATACAGAAAGCATAAATGATTTATTGTACTATTTATACTAAACAGGGGAAAATGAACTTTCAAAACTTGTCATCACTTATCCTGTCTAAGTATGTAAACAACTTCAACATTTTATCTTAAATTCATCTGTTACAAATATGAACCATATGATAAAGTTTCTATGTACACATACAAAGTTTGACATACCAAATAAAAGAAAAGGAGAAAAAACTTATGAAAGTGCTAAAAATGTAAGAGACAGGTGTGCAGATCAACAAACATTTGACAGAGGAAGTGTGCCATCAATTAGATCATGGCATTTGTGTAAAGTGTTACAAATAATGCCCTCCAATTGTTAAAAGCTTTGATATCTATTTTCATTTGACAATATTTTTTGACACAAACCATGCAGCCAATTTAAAAGGAAAAAAACATGAAAGTTTTTGTCATCATTTGACTGAGCCTGTATATTAATTAAAACTTACATAAAATAATTATGTCAGCTATATAAACAAATTATTTATTATAAAAATTTAAAATAAATTTTCATTCTCTAAAATGCTTTTTATAGAGTTAAAATGACAAATTACAATACTCAGACTTAGTTTATTTACTCATTATCAGAAGAAAAAAAAAATTATATTTTCAAGTATATATTTAGATCAGGAAATTATGTCACAACTTTTAAATTCTAATTGTGTAGAAATATCTTCTAAAAATGAATAAATAAATGTGAAAATCTCTACATTATTCTTTGAATATTCTATTTTATGGAAAGCATTTTATGGATTGATTTCATAACAAAACAAAATTTGATTGAATTTGATCAAATGGCTCAAATCTTCAAAGTATTCATTCAATTCCATAAAAACAACAAATTTATCTCTGAATATAATATAATACAGTATAATCTCCAAACAGCAGACACCATCAGAACTGAGAAGTTTGTCTACTATTCAAAAATACATGCCGACAGCCATATTTTATTTTAACCTGGTGACTATAAATTGAAGAATACAATGGATTACAAAAATTATAATAATATGAACACACCTGAATTCTATTTGCCAAGTTTTTTCTCTTTATTCAAATGTTTTCAGCCTATTTGGATAGGCCATCCTCAGGTTTTCATTTATTGTTCCAAAATGGAACCATTCATTTGAATTTTATTTTTATTTGAATTTTTGAAATAAGTTAACAACTTTTTGTATATTACATAAATAAACAAAATAAATAAAAATAAAATATGTCACTAAATGTGCCACATATTATCAAAAATTAAACAACAAATTTTACATGCGTCTAAATTATAATATAACGTCTTATAACCTCCGGTTCCTGTTTTATGGATTAGTGAAACCCATACATTTTTCTATTTTGTATTTCCATGCTGTTGGTAATATATTTGTATCCTTTGCATTTAAACAACAGTTCCTCATTTTACTTTTGTATATCTCTATTTTTTCCATTTCCATCGCAATGGATGGTGAGTGCACCATTCTTATGATCCTCGCTTCATCCCACTTAACTATTGCTCCGTCCGACTGTGCCATGCTTGCCAATATCGTGCTATTGAGTCCTTTATTAACACTGTATTTGTGCTCTTTTACACGTACTGCAAGGTTTCTTCTGGTCACCCCTACATATTCTTTATCGACTCCTATTTGTTGGTTTTCATACGGGATAGTGTACACCCCCCGCTGGCTCTTCCATTCTTATTTTGTCCTTATCGTTCCTTAATAATCTATATATGTTGGGTGCTCGTTTGTAAATTATCTTTGCGTTTTTGTATTTTCCTAGCTCATCCACTACTTTTCTTGTTTGTTCACTGTATGTGAACTTGTTGAATGCAGTTGTGTTGTTATGTGTTGTAGTTTTTGTTTACCATAACTTCTGATAAGGCCTCTGATTGTGGACATGAGGATGGCCTATCCAAATAGGCTGAAAACATTTGAATAAAGAGGAAAAAGTCGGCAAATAGAATTCAGGTGTGTTCATATTATTATAATTAATATTGCTGGATTACAAAAAACATCAAATTTCCATTAGAAATGTGAATATACCTAAAAGTATACATAGCATATATACTTAAAGTATATTTATAATATATTATTTAGTTTTTCAGCTGTAAATATCTCATTTTAATCGAATCTCATTCAAATGTCAAGTTACAAAGGCGATTTGCTATCCACTTGAAGGGGTCAAAAATATATTTGGAATTGTTACATTTATAATGTCATTTATTATCTAAGCAACTAATAAAAATCAATACAGGGATTTGTCTGCTTTGTAGTTATCAAGTAGGTGTAACTTTTCGAAAATTTTTGCTTTTATCAGTAACTGATTTATTAAAAATTACACATTAGCCACCACAAAGCTGTTAAAATGATTACGACAAAAGTGTTCATTCGGTTTAAGTTCAAAGGTCGCATTACAAATGCCCAACCATTTTAAAGTATGGGAAGCTATTCGGTTTTCTCAGATTTATGATCTTAAGTTTCTTTTCCATTACTACTATACTACAGTTCTTGTCGAATGAATGAATAACTTCAGAAAAGTTTATAGTTTTATATATGGTATCATAAGCTTAATTCCAACAATACGACAGCAGTTTAATAACATAAATGCATATAACAATAAATGATGATTAATAACTTAACCAGATTAAACTTCTCTACAGGTAAAGATTATTACAGTAGAGCGTTGTTTATCCGAAGGTCGGTTATCCGAAGGAATTCCAGTCGACAAATTTAAATTTTCGCCAGTGCTGTGGCGCTGTAATCTTTGGCTATGTCTTCGGCTACTCAAATATTTTACGTTTTTGATACTAAATTAACTTCTGAAATATAATTTTTTATCGTTTTTATATTTTTCAATATATTTATTTTGTTTGTACAAAATAAAAAAATAATTTTTAACGATACAATAGTCTTCGTTAGGCTTAACATCGACAAAAATTCAACGCGAAGCGACACGCAATGAAGAAAAATTTCAACACGGGATAAATTAATATATTTTTTCGTATGTAATTGGTTGTCCGAAGAATAAGTTATCCAAACAACCCCAGTCCCAAATTGATTCGGATAAACGACGCTCTACTGTATTTGACCAACTATCGCTCTCTCAATTTCTTGTATGATGTTTCCCATCCACCTACTTCCGTGGGGACAAAGTTCGGGCCTTACTCCAAAACCTGCTTGATTTTCTTTGGTATTTCTACCTGGTCCCATACGTAGAAAGTACTAAGGTTCTTCCTATCTGGATGGGAAACGTCAGTACAAGAAATTGAGAGAGCGATAGTTGGTCTGGATGCATTAGAGAAGGAATACTTTAAATGGAAAGCAGTCACTAACAAACAGCCAAAGAACGGGACGGATGGTGTTACTAGTAGGGACATTTGGCTCACGAAGGAGTGGTTAAGGAAGAATGGTATTAAGAAGAACCCCTAATTTGTATAAGATCTTGAGAAACGATAAGGATAATATCAGAGCAGAGGAGAAAGCAGGGGTGTATAAGATTCCTTATGAAAACTTACAACTGGGCGTTAAAAAAAATTATATCGGCGTCACCACCAAAAACTTGGGAGTAAGGCTCAAAGAACATAGATATGCCATAAGAAAAACGTCTAATTCAACGGTTTTGTCCCGAATGGTGCAAACACAAGGATCTGAGGTAAAATGGGACGAGGCAACAATCATCAAACCTCTGTCTTCCCCAACTCTAGCAATGACGGCAGAAAAAATAGAAATATACAGAAGTAAGATAAGAGAAGGCTGTTTAAATGCGAGGGATTCCGAGAGCCTACCTTCGGCATGGAAATATTTGGTTAAGAAATTTACTACAANATAAAATCTCTACATTATTCTTTGAATATTCTATTTTATGGAAAGCATTTTATGGATTGATTTCATAACAAAACAAAATTTGATTGAATTTGATCAAATGGCTCAAATCTTCAAAGTATTCATTCAATTCCATAAAAACAACAAATTTATCTCTGAATATAATATAATACAGTATAATCTCCAAACAGCAGACACCATCAGAACTGA